GCCATAAGTTTGGTTTTTTTCTGGTGGCAATATTCTCTGCAGTCTATGAAAAATAGACTATCTGATGGTGCTTGACTATTCTTTCCTTAATGGGATCTCTACTAAAATGAGCACAAAGAAACACATTCCTCCCTCAGCCCTTCTAAAAATTGCACATTAGTGGTTCAGTGTGCAGATACATTTTAGGCACAAAAACGATCAAGCAAATCAAAGATTTTTGGTTTCTTAAAGAAACTTCCACAAAGTCGTTGTGTGTTCACTCTTCCAAAACACAATGCTGTGGTATCTCAGAGTTTCTGAAGTGGCAGTGTAGGCACTGTACTCTTATGTTTCATTGAGTGCTCGTTCAAAACAGCTGTATGTTCTATATAAAACATGTTTACATAGTAAATGTACTTCCTGTAGATACAAAGAAATGTTAATGAATAACCATTCCTGCATTTCAAATTTTGCAGGGCTGTGGGAAGGATCAGTGCATGACAAAATAGTTAATGTTCACCCACTTTCTGGCACATGAAATCTGTTACTACAACTAATCCCTTACAGAGAAAAGAAAACATGGAAAACAAACTGGCACTGGCTGGTTCTACTATGCTTTTTTTTTTTTTTTTTTTTTTTTTTTTTTTTGAGAAACTGTGAGATGCATATACATGGGAGAGGAACAGAGGAGGTATTCAGTGGAGAATGCCAGAAGGCATGGACTCCTTTTGGTAGGCAAGGCTGTTGGCTTTAATTGTATATATTGTCTTGGATTCTCACCTTCAGAAAAAACGCCAGTTTGATCTCACACAGTATTCACTACCCATATTTACATCCTATTGCCTGAGGCCCAGGGAAGACAAACAACAGGCATTTTCCTTTCAATTTCTATCTGAAAATCTATATGGCTTAAAAGACTTCTTAAATAAGAGATCTCCATTGATCTTTAAAAATTTTTAAAAAGCAAATATCAGGTGTTCTAACTTATAGTGCTGCCCTGAAAAAGCCTCAAAAAGAAAACTCATTTCTAATCCAGGGGAAGTTTTTCCAGAAACACAACGATATTAAAGAATCTATTATTTGCTTTGTAGCTGTGAGGTCCCACACATGATCCTCACTTCCCTGCAATGCAAGCCACTAAATTAATGAGGTTTTGCTATAAAGCAAATTTATCTGAACTACGTGGCTGTTTTTTCCAGTCCCCTGAAAATACACAAGCCTGAAAAAGATGTATAACTAGAAACCAATCCCCTTCAAGGGAAACTGGAACACTGTGAGGAGGATCCTTACCAGAGTAAAAGATCTGCCCCAAAGAAGATGGAACAGGAATAGTTCACAGCAGCCAGGAATCTGCTCTGCATCTGCAGACCAATTTATAAAAAAAAGGTGATACACCACACATGGACCAGATGAACTCATGTAATGTAGGCAAAAAAGAGCTCTGCTGGGGATGTTCCAACATTTCTACACAAGATTTCATGGTGTACAAAAATCACATCATGTGAATGAAAATCTTTTCTAACCTTTCTGCATGATTTGAAATTGCTACCGTGGACAAGGTTTTCAAAGCCCACCCAACAAGCAATGCTCAACTAGCTCTTCTTCACAGGGCAGCATATGAGTAGCACATTTCAGTTTCAACAGACTGAAAAATCATTAGCACAGCAATAAGGCTGAGACCTTAGCGAAATTTTCTCAATAAATGTATTTCTTGACAATTCTAATTTTTGCTCAAAATACATATATTGCTTTTGAAAAAACCCCTTTTTTTGGTGTTCTCAGAGCAATTAATAAGTGACAATCTGATTTTTTTTTTCTTTTAGGAATATCAATACTTATGTTTTGTAAAAAACAATGTTTTATTAAATTATTTATTAAATTCAAAGATCTAATTCTTTTAAACTATGTAAGGAGAGCGGAAGCTGATGGACTTCTGACAAATTCCAAAAGTCCTCAGAAAGTAGTGTGGAAAATGTGATGAACCTCTACTTAACTACTAAAATGTTTGCAAAAAATCTTTTTTTGGATGCGTTCCATTTCTCCGAAAGTGATCAGAAACAAATGGGAAAACAAGTTTCTACAGAAGACACAATCAGAGACACATATAAACAAAACTGATGAAATCAGAAGAAAACTTGATTTTTTATACACATCCAAAGAAAAGAGATAAGAAAGTGGATGTCAGCATGGAGTGTTATTTTGAATTGCCAAACACTGCCACCATGTGTTCACTTCAAAGGCCATCAAGCTGCTTGAAAACCGCTAGATGGGATTTATTAAAAGATGAAGTAAATCAAATTTGTTGCTCTATCTCTTACGTAAACGTTTCTGCATAAGGCAGTAGTGATGACAACCCTAATAAGGTTTTAATTACTTTTAGTTGCTGGTGTTATGTTTGAATAAGAACACATGGTTCTGTTTCTAACCCTTCCTATTGCTATTGAGGAGAGCACAAACTAGAGAATGGCTCAAAGAACGCAAAGAACAAGCTTTGTTTTCACACACAGATGTGTAGGCATAAAGGATATTTCATGGTACTTGTGCAACGCCCACCGCAGCCAACTTGTAGCTGATCCTGATGCTCCCTAGAAGGTACCAAAAATCACAAATGTTGAAATGGCTTGAAGCTCTATCAGGGGAGGTTTAGGTTGGAAAAAAAATAGAAAAATATTCTCCATACTAGAAAAATGTTCTCCATCCAGAAGGTTTTTGGGTACTGGAATGGGCTCCCCAGGGAAGTGGTCACAGCACAAGCCTGACAGAGTTTAAGAAGCTTTTGGACAGTGTTCTCAGGCACAGGGTGTAACTCTTGGAGATGGTTCTGTGCAAGGCCTGGAGTCAGACTCAGTTATCATTGTGGGCCCCTTCCATCTTGGCATATTCTGTGACTCTCTGATAAACTGACTAATTGAACTTGGACAAACTGACTTATGCATCATCACTCCCTTATTAGCATTATCCACGTAAACAAAATAATTCAACATACCTCCTCATGGGGTGCTGCAGCTTCCAAATCTGTATATAGATTTATAGATATTTAGACTTACTGTATGAATACTTCAAGGAAAACACAGACCCTGGGGAGCAAGGCCAACAATTAAATCAGATACAACTAATACTTGGATGAAATGCCACACTTGGAAGAAAACATTTTTTGGTACAATTCTAAATACATCAAGCTTCTTTTGCTCTCAGAAATGCTGATTGCTCAGAGTTTAGACTCTTTCTTATATCTTAAAAGTGATTCTAAAGAGATGGCAAAGATGAGTAATTGAAGTGGAAAAGTAAGTAACTGATAAAGGACAAACCAAATGACCTCTACCATATCTCTTGCCATTTGTTCTTCAATGTGCATTGTAGAATATACACTTATTCTACAGCTCTATTCCACAAGTCTTTTAACAGCAGGAAAAATCCGTAAGCCCTGCATGCAAATGACATGCAGGGCTGTCATAAGCCATAAGCCCTGCATGCATAAGCCCTTCTGGTAAATGACAGCATTGAGTCAGAATAACTAACTGGATTGTCCCAGCCTGCTCCAGATTTGTTTAACAATAGATGGTAGCAGTGTTCCCATCAGAGAGCTTCGGAGGTAGGAAAACAAACTGAAAAAGCATCTTTGACAGAATTGCCAGAAATCCTTCATGCTTCTTACCACAAACTTGAAGCAGCAAATCACATCTGTGGCACTAATTAGGAAAGAAGAAACTGTCAATGTACTTCATCTTAGATAAAGCAAATGCAGTGAACTGAATGCAAGATCATTTTACCAAAGTTTAAATATGGCAACAAAAGGAGAACTTATGTTGTTGAAAATACACTTGTGCAGTCTATTAGGTGCTTTTAGTACATGAATGAACTTTCAAAAGGAAAAAGTGTGCCAGCCATTTATGTATTTTCAAAACATGACTGTGTGGTCATTTCTTGACCTTGTTCCTACAATGAATATACAAAACTTAAATGATTTTTGTCTTAGAATACTTACCACCATCAAAGCAAATGTCATCATAAATGTCACTACCAAGATACACTTAGCAGAAGTTAATATATCCGAGCAAAGTCAGTGGATACAAAATAAGCCTCCAAAAATATAATTAGGATCTGCTGACTCAGGCATTAAAAAAAGCTGAACTTTTAGGCTTATGCACTACATTAGACTATTTATTCTCTATTTCTAGATTTAATCTATTTTATCCAGTTCAAACTTTTTCACATAGTTTATTTTCATGGCAACAAAAGAATTTTTGGGAACAAAGCTAAATCTCAAACATACACAATATATTTCAAGAGTAGCATAAAGGAAGCAATATGATCTTAGTTTATATCCATCCCCCACAATGAATAAACCAAACTAGCAATTCTCTAGCTGTGATTTCCAGTGAAGAAACACTGCAAAGAAGCTTATTAAAATGTAACTTGAATCTTTAATCCTTTGTAGAGCCAAACATTATCCAGACATTAGCCTCTGATTTTACTCTCCATAGGTAAAAGCAAATGGAGAGACATTGGTGGTCTCCTGTGAATCTGTTCTTCAACCTATGCATTTCTTCGAAGTTCTACTCTTTGGTGATGAAAAAGGGGGAGAATTTATTTTGAAAAACTAAAATATTCAAATTAATATTGTGTGCAATAAGAGGATAACTTTCTAAACCACAGTGAACACATGTCTGTGAGCATGTGTGTGTTCACATTCACTCTATATGAAATTAACTAACTAAATATGTTTTGGAATGAGAATATGAAATTAAACAAAACAAACACATACCCTGCAGAAGTATCCATCCTGTTCCCTTAAATCCTCATCTATAAACAACTGGTTACTGAGTTACCAGCTCTGCCTCAGACTTTAGAGCAAGATCAGACTGTTCACAACTAATAACAACCACAGATGACAATGAGCACTATTTTAGGATGAAAGTTCATAATTTCTTAACCTGTCAATCACAGTCTCTGACATAATATCCGATGTATTCCAAAGTAAAAAATGACTTTTCAGATTTAAAAATTTCCAGAGCTTTTTATTCACATTTTTTTCTTAGGTATTTTTCAGTACAGTAGGAAACAAAAAAAATACAAAAAATATAAGAACAATCAATGCACTAAACACAAGATATATTTACAGTAGAACTTGCATCTTCCTGATTTAGTTCACAATTTATCTTTTTCAGTGGATTTGACAAACAACCTGTTCTCTGGAACCTTGATCATTCATCTCCATTATCAGCAGCTACTTCCTGATAAAAAGAAATCCAAAATTTGAAAATTACTTATGAATTTTGTCTTTGAATTAGATTTATCAAATATGAGGTCTCCGTAACTGTTTAGATATAACAATTTCCAGACAATTTCAATCCCATTTCATTCACATAGCTAGATGCATTAACATCAGCTTTCTGTCACTGATTTTCTTTATTTTTATCAAAGTCTTCTTTGTAAGTTCCATGGTTTCATCCCACTTGTTTTTGTCAGGGCTTGTGTATGTCACCAAGTTCTCAGTGTACTGCAAGACTGACTTCAAAAACCTATGAGAAATAACATTAGAGAAAAACTCCTTTAAGGATTTAAAAAGAAAAATTAAAAAAAAAGTGAAGAGAAGAATATTGCAACGCCTGACTTAAAGCTGCAAACATCTTCAAGTTTCCAAATCTCCTTCAGGAGGACTGGATGATCAATACATTAAGGTTTGCTCTACTTTTGGAGAACTCTCCCTCTCACACTAAGATGGGAAAATCTTCAGAACTGCAATTAACAGCACCATAGAAAGAATAGTGACCAAATGTGTGACAGAGTTTTCCCCAAATAGCTTCCCTTTGCTTTCTTGGTCAAATGTTTCACAATGTATGTGATATCCAACCAGCAGTTAATTAACACACAGGGGGTAAAGTCATCAGCATAGTGAATGCAACTTTTATGTATTAATATTCCCTATCTACACTTCAAGAAAGTTATTTTAGCTCCTGAGTGAACATTGTCCAAGGTAAAATTATGACTACAATGATGAAAAATCTCTACAGTACAAGTCAAAATGGAATTCTGGGGCAATCTCTATTTTCATAAAGTAAATTTATATACTCACTTTAGATACTGCTGATAATCAAAAGGATTCTTCTTACAAACTGAATGAACACTGACTAGTTCCAGAGTAATCAATAGTAAGATGAGCCGCAACACTGGAGACAAGAATTTAATGCTAGAAATAAAATAAAAATACTTAAATAAACAAACTAAAACCAAATTAAAAAGAAATCATTAATATTAAAAAAAAATATTAAGACTTCTGCACCCAATCTAAATTGCTAGACATTGCAGAATTGGGGGAAAAAACAACTATGAAATGTCCCTCAGCAAAAAGCAGTGCAAATCCCAGAAAAGTAAACAGAGATTATAAACTGAAAATGAGGGGGGAAGAGAAGACAAATATCTAAGATTCCAAAGAAAAACTCGTGAGCTCCCATTAAGCCATAGATAATAAACTACAGCTCAACTAAATCACTAAAATGTGTATCATCAGGTGTCAGTTAAAGCTATATTTCTTAAATAATATGGTTAACATTTTTAGGAACATTACCTTGCCAGTAACACAATACTTATAAAACTCTGGAAAGCTCCTATGATCACTAAAAAATTAATGGAATAATAAAATCTCTTCTATCTATAAAGAGCCTGATTCAGGTGTAATGATGAAAAGCAGTAAAATAAAGTAGATAGAATCTTCAAATCTGTTAAACCTACTGCAGTCAGATAAAACTTGAATAGCATTTACATACCTAAACAGGAAAAGCCAGAAATTAAAAAAATACAATCTAACATTCAAGTAGTACTTAATTTGAAAGCTTGCAATTTACAGTGACATAATCTAGCAATGCTCCCCAAATTACTCTCCAATTTGAGATTTTCTTGTTATTTCAATATTGCTACTTAACAGAAATCTGATAATAATCTGGTAAATACACAGATCTGGTTGACACTTGACTCTGAAATGGTTAACAAGAACACGTGAACACTGTTGACTTTAAACTTCCAAGTGAGCCCACTGAAAGGCAGCAACAGCAGCGTGCAGCCATTCTCCCATAAACCTAACCACAGAATAAAGCAAAACCAGCAGCCAACCTGTTCAGCATCCGCCGATAGGTGTGCCTCTGGCGGGAGCGCAGAGTCTTGTTGAGCCACTGCGTGTGTCTCAGCGCAGCGCCGGCAATAACCTGTTGGGACACTTGATGGCACTGCGCGCTTACTTTGCGGAGTATCACCACTACTTCCAGGACAGGTCGTGGGGAATACAGCGTGCAAATGCGTGTATCAGAAAGTTCCACCAGCAGCCTCCAAAACAGAAAGGGATTTTTTAACGTCAATCTTTTGTTAGCTGGATTAAACATCGGATACGTTTCATATTAAGTGCGGTTTGACTCGTAATGTTTTAATTCAGAAAACCTGGAAACAAACTGCCCTTACCTCATGACTGAAAAAAAGCAAGGATCTGTGTAGTAGGAGTAGTGATTGTGTTTTCTATCACTTTATTGAATATAAATGCAAAACTGATTATGATGAATATGTTTCGCATTTCAGATCAAAGAAACACAACCACAATAAACAAAACTGCCTGGCTGAAATTATACACTGAACACATCAAATCACAGCAGGGCTGTGGTTGAAGCCTCCCACCATAGCTCAATTCACAATGAATTAACCTCCACCAAAATAAAACTCACTGAAACAAATGCTGTTAATTAGTACTCCCATTAGTGTGTGGTCTTTCTCCTGGGCAAAACAAGAAGCAGACTCAACATTGTGTAAAATGCAGGTGGTGAGGCCATTTTTTTAATCAACACCACAACAGATCACGCTTTGTTAAAGCTCACAAATATCTCCCTGCTGTCATATCTGCTACACTAATGTGTCACACATCACTTTAAACACTCTGTTCTTATAGAAGTGTTTCTTAATCCCCCTCATGCTCAGTTTATCCCTGAGATAGCAGAACATTAATGACTTGAAGTGATAAAGGCAGAAAACTCTAAAGGTCTAACACACCAATAATTAGGCTTCTTTCCTCCAAATAATAAATTTGCCGATTGGTGGGTAGGAAGCAGAAGACCCACATGTAATATAAGTAACAGGTAAAATCAGCAACAGGCAAAATCCTCTTTGATAGATGCCACCCATGCCTAATGGGTTTGATTAGAAGTGCTTGGTTCACATATTCATTCAGTCATGGGATTCTTAAGGCTGCTCTAAGAGTGGCAATTAAAAGTCAAACTATTTTGATTATTATTCCAAACTGGGCATTAGAACTAACATACCTCCAAATCTGACACCAAGTATAACAAGACATTTTCTCTTTCTGAATTTTGATATTAGAGCATAAAGAATAGAATTACATAGCACTGTATTGCCATTTTGAACACCACACACAGTTGTGACATCAAGCACACTAAAAGGATTTTCTGATGCAATTTTAGCACAAACCAGGCTAAAAACCAACCTAATCTAGTAAGTACACAAATATTTAAAGTATTTTGCTTTCATGGTCTGAAAAAAAAAAATATTATTTTTTCAGTCTAATTTCTAAGTAAAATCTCCACTGTAATTCTAAAACGTACAATGTCTCATCCTTATTTTGAAGATGACATTCAGCTGCAATCCTAAAATTTTCAGATTAAATCAGCAGCAACACTAGAAAAATGCATACAGCATTTTAAGTATTTCTCTGTAAACAGGGACAGGATAATTTAGGTTTGAGAATTCTTACATTGGGCTGCAAGTAGAAGCTGACAGCAGGAACCAGGAGGGCATAAAACTCACCTCTCTGTTAAGACACTGTTGATAGGATCATCTGAACTACAGCAATTCTGGGGCATATAATGCTGCAACTGAGATATAATTTCAGATATCATCAAAATTAAAGTATTAGCTTCAGCATTTCCTTCCAACCTTAAAAACAAGAGAGGAAATATAATATTTGACACTATAACAGTCATTATTTCTTAAATGGCACAGATCAAGATGCAGATTTTTTTGGATAGCAGTGTATTCAGCATCCACTCTTATGCTCTCATATAATTTCTTTTCCCTCTACCTTACAAGCATGATTTTCTTTCTCCAACTAAAGTGACCTTTTCTCATTGTTAGCAATATTCAGAACCCCTCTTAATTCTCCGTTCATAAAAAGCCTACAGTATACTGATTATATGATAGATGCATTAAATTTTCTTCTCTCAGCTCTAAACAGGTACAATATCTTCCAGTGATATTATTAATGACTTCCTCCTTTTCAAATGATGATAGAATGCTACATTTGTTTTCTAACTATTATCTTATATAAAGTTACCCACTGGTTTCTAAGTCCTTTTGAGAATAAAGAATTATTTGCTTTTTTATATCTGGTGATCTTATATAGCACACACATACCCTTTAATCCTTTGTTCTTGTTCCTCAGGCACTGTTGCCAATTCAGGCCATAAATGGATGCTCTTCATACATTCCAGCACCTCAAAAACATAACGAAAAATGTTTTGTAAAGTACAGACTTCGACATGCTTTTCTTAGTGGCCCATTTAGAAAAAAAAACTGCAACAAAAACTGTAGGTTATTTGTTCACTAGTCATAACCGTGTAAGCCAACTTCATTTCTTAAGGTTTAGGTTAGGGCAAAAAGTCTGGATGTACACTTCCATGTTAACACATTATCTGAACAAACTAATTTAATATTCTATGGTTTTTTTAAATATAAAAAATTAACTAACATTACTTTTGCAACACACTGTTTGCATGCTGTTGAAAAGTAAAAGGACTAGGTATGTCCAGTGCAATCTCAAATCAATAGAGAAACATCCTCAAGCACTTCATTAAACTGATTGGCAGAGAACTACTATGACATTGGAGAGTAAATTTTGCTACCATGACAGAATCTTAATCAGCTGTCCTTCATAGAGTAAAAAAACTTAGTAACAGCCTAATCCTGGAGACAGGACCTAGCAGTGGTCCTGACATAAAAAAAACATATGGAGATTAAGAAAACTACAGAAAAGCAAACACTCAGGTAAGAATGTAGTGATTTAGACTATTTAGTGATCTAGAACACAAATATGGTATTAATTGCATTAACAGGAGTGTGCATAATTATATCTCATTTTAGCAACTGTGATTTCTTTTGTGTTTTGAAAAAGAAACCAAAAGAAATAATAAAAAATATGTATGGTTTGAACTTTTTTTAGGACAATCAAAGCATGAAGAATTAGATAATTTTGAGGATTCACAATTTTAAGGACCAAAATGCTGTCACAGATGGAAGTACCTACCTGTTTCTTGAGCCGGGAAATTGGATGAAATCGAGATTGGTAGCAACTTGCACAGTTCATCAGTGGTTTTATGACCATGTGTTCCTGATTTACAAGATCACAGACAATACACATCAGTTTCTCTAAGCTGTGCTAATCATATGCAGATTTTGACTTATACTTCATTTTATGCATGCCACCTATAGCACCGATGTCAATAAACACTTCCAAATGTCTAAGGGCTGAAAGAAGTAATCAGCACAATAAGTGGTTAAAGCTTAATTTCACATATTTTAACTATGAAGCCTGACAGCAGCTGACAGAAAAGCAACCAAGTATTCTCTTAATGCAGCAGCACACAATATATCTTGAGAAACTAAAAAAGAGCTGCAACTAATAAATGGAAGATTTATCTCATAGGTTGCTGCATGATATTGAAAGAAGTAATCTCAAGTATAAACAGGAAACTGAGGAGAGTAAACAATAATTGCTGATGTTGAGAAACACAGTGCTAGGCAAACAATGTTTACAAATTCATAGTGTAAGTATAGATACAAATAACACTTCCATTAGCAAGGCACTATTATTTACAGTGTCTCAGGAAAAGAAAATCTCATTAACTACACACTACATACCTCAGTGGGTGAGCCAGATGTTCTACATACCTTTCAAATAATTTTGCAGATAAACAGGCTAGTTCATCAATACAGTTTGACAAAATTAAGTGTAATCATTATAATTTATGGATCAACCATTTGAATAAGGACTGGTTTAGCCAACAAATTATAGTATAACAGGAAAGGGTAACATTTTGGAAAACCTTCTGTACTTATTTCCCTACAAAACTAGGCAAAACATACTTTCACATTTTTTTACTTGGAGGAGTATGTCATTTGCACAAAAAGCAGTTGTCAGGAAAGATTCAGTCATAATGCTCTATCTAGAATTATATTTGGTATCCAAAATAACAAAAAAAAATTATGAGAAGAAAATACTGGTCCCTACCTTAAGAGAATACATAGCCTCATCTGAGAATCTGCAGAGGATAGTAATAGCAAATCCAACTATTTGGTTAGCTATTTCTCTGGGAAATGTTTCTAGATTGATCTCTCCATGGCTTAAACGATCTCTTATACGTGGGCCCTCCTGGTGGTTCAAGAAATCCCAAAGGAAGTCCTGTGGAAACACACACCAACAATACAGAATTCTATTCCATGTGCATTCATACAGAATTGAACATATTTTGTGTATAGAATATCTCTGAAGGACAAGTATGTGACCATGTCTATATTATAGAGGTCCAGATATTCAGAAAAAACCCAGTGCAAACTGTACCTGTAACATACATTCTATACTGTGACAGTTATTAACAGATTTCCATCAGCTTTGTATCCCAAGCCCTTCACAGCCCCACTGCCTCTGGCAACAGGACAGTAACCTCAGATGTCCTCATACTCTCAAAAAGCCTCTAAACTCAGCTCCTCTGGTTTTTCTGTTCACAATATGTTTGGGTAGTAAGATGCAGAATGTGCTCTGGTAGGTTTGAGCTGCATTTTTGTGCTATCTGCCCAGACAGTGTAAGGCATGTCTCACAAGAAATCAGAAATAAGTTTTGAAATATCCCTGTATGAGGCATCAGTTCTGCTCCTGCTCCATTCAGCTGAACTTCAGAAGTCTGAAAACAAATATCTCTGAGACACTTATATTTCAGAAAGAAAGCTAGTTCCATACCCCAGTGCAATATAGCTTGTCAGGTATGACTTTGTATCCTCCACAATAAAAAAGGCTAACAAGCTTCTAAGGTTCTAAGCTGCTGGACACAAGCTATATGAAATAACTGAGTATCAGGCATATCGTAAAGATTATTACTCAGTGAAACAAACAATCAAAAGACGATGATGACAAAACCCTAGAACACTTTCAAAATCACTTTCCATGGCAGGCTCTTCAAGAACTACAGGTAGCTGGTTGACTTCTTCATTATCCAAATGCTTTGCTAGCATCTAGGAAAAAAAATTGAATAGAAACTTATTGAATTATTGAAGACCATATAATCAAAGAAGAAACACCAACTAAAATAGTTTTCCTAATCTGATGTGATTACTTCTGCCACTCTAGAATCAAGATGCTTAATTATTACTGACAAACAACTTGAAATAATCCAATCAACTTCTAAAACTGATGATTTATGCTGGCAAGATTTATTTGTATTTATTTTGAATAACTGAATCTAGGAAAAATAGCAGAATGTTTGTTTCTGTGGAGTGATGAATTTCAAGATAAAAATATTTAGAAAAAAACATAGTCTGTTCATTACAATTTGTATTAATTTTGATATCTGCAGAAGCATTCCAAATTTAAAGTGTTTACTGTCCACCATCTTTTGTTTGGGAGAAAAGGTAGAAATAATGCCATATTCAACAAAAGAAAGTGCATTCTTAACTCTAGTCATGGGAAACATGCATGGTTTAAATTCTGACACTGATATATATTTAGAAAAAAATCACAGTACCTCATCAAAAGTGGTGTAGAGAGCAGAAGACTAGAACAAAACACAAATAATAATATTTAGTTTTCAAACAAAATCAATTAACTAGTCATGTATATAAAACTTTATTCATTTGCATGAGATATCAGAGGTGCATGAATAGCAAAAAAGTCCCCTTATGAATGAAAAAAAGGCACTTTGGAATCTTGAGCTGAGTTTTTTTAAAGCAAATATATCATGTCCTGCTTTTCACCCTAAACTACTGTTTCTGAACTTTAATCTTCCGCTACTTTTTCAGTCCTTTTTAGAGGCAGACATTTAAAAAAATATTAAAGGCATCATGAATTTCAACTGGAGAATTGTAAATAATGTTCCAAAATTGATTGAAATTTTGCAGGGTAAATCTGTAGATTTCTAGAATAACTCTTTTGTAAGCACTAAATCATAATTGACTTTAGACAAAAGTTTACCTCCGCTGTTAGCAATCGATTTGGACACTTATTAGTTGTAGTGAAGAGCAATCTAAGTCCAGCTTCCAGCTGAGGAAGTAAGAGAATCACACTGTCAGCATACCTGAAAAAGTAACGGAGATATCCAAATGGGAGTTTTTCTTCCTTATAAATATAAAGCATTTCAGAATTACAGTCTCAGGCTAAACAACCCTTACAAAATTCCTTTGTAATGCACTTTGTAAACAAACAATAAATGACTACCTGTGCCAAACAGAAACTGACCACTGAATCCAAGCCCAGAGATGAGAATAACTCACAAAAAGATGGAGCATGGGAGAGGAAAACAAAACAATACACTTTTTTTTTAAATTCTAAATATGTGTGATTTAACATATGAAGATTTATTTCCACTTGCTTTGTAAACCTCTCCTTTTTTGCTACATCTCCAACAGCTCTCTTTCAAAATATAGTTTATAATAGTTGGCACAAAACAAAGCCATAACTCAACGAACTTTCCAAGACATCGCCATAACAAAGCATAACTATATGCTGTGAAGTAATTTAGTATGAAGCCTTGGAATCTGCAAATGTATTTATAAAAATACAGAATATATTCTTTTTCGTGTCTAATAAAAAAATTTACAAAATCTTACCTGCTTTGCTTGAAAGCTGTTAAAGCAGAGATCCAAAATGGTAACATAATTTTTAATACAAAACTGGACAGTTTTACAAATTCTTCAGCTATGGAAAGTATTTCACTATTAAGATCTGCAAGTTAAAAAAACAACATTGAAAAATTACACATAATCTACACTTCACTAATGAATTTTAAATATTTTACTGAAAATATGATATAATGTCAACATTTGTAAAGGGAAATTTAAAAGTTATCAATTTTCTTTTAACTATGCAAGTACAACAGTAGCCATACTTAAGATCAGAATTTAAATATGTAAGATTGTATTTGTGGTGATAATGTAAAATAATAGAGTAAAACCAGTTTAAAAAGCCATGCTTGCTTTTTATTGAAAGACTACATAGCAACTGGACCCAGCTTCTATTGAGTTGTTCTCTATCTTCTTCAGATACTTTAGAAAAGTATAATATTTATGAATCATTTTTATTCAGCCCGAATTAATACAACAGTATGAACATTTGAACATGAGCACGTAGTTACTATTTTATAAATTTTCTGTGTTAAAAATACAGCATTATAAATTAACACTTCATACTTCAATGTTACCATGTAATGAAACCCACACTTACAAATTCATATTATAAATGTCTTATTCAAGAGAAAGCTTAAAATGATAAGTGTAACTTGATTACAGTAAGTGTTTTTTCAAAGCCAATCAACAGCCATAGGATTTACACTACATAATTATTGATTTGGTTCCCAAAATCCCTGTCTCAATTTCTGGGACAGTTGTTCCACTGATTATATAGCACAAACTGACCATGATCACCACTGACACCAAGATCCCCTATATGGTGCTATTGCCTTAAAATAGTAGGAATAATCCAAACAAGGTGTGTGGACAGGGAGAAGATTTTAATCTGACACTTCAAATCCTTCCCTGAGAAAGGCATTAGTGTAGTAAAGATGTGTCACCATCTTTTACTCTGTTTCAACACTACCTTCCCTGTAAGACTCAGGGCACTCCTGCTGGGACCAAGTTAGATTTCATAAAGGCAAACTAGATGACGGTTACAGGAAATTAATTAGCATATTCTAAAAAATGTAACATACAGTTGAAGTCTTTTAGAAGCAGACATATTTCATGTTTCAATGTGTTGCAATTATTTTAGAATGCAGCAGTCTTTTACTCAATAGTCAGTGAACTGTCTACATACTAAGAAGTTGCCCCACAAGCATGATTGGTTCATCTAATGACAGTGTGTACAGGTATCCTAGTTAAAATTTAATCTTGGAACTCTGGGAAATGCATTATTTTCAACAGCACTTTTGGACAAGGAAACAATAGCAAATAGAGGATAATAAAAAAATTGCTAGTGGTTAAATACTTGCCTGGAAATGCATCAAGCTCCTCTAAGCTAATGAAGATCACATAAGGTCGATGTACTAAAACACCTTTAGTTTGCAGAAGATAAGTCTCTAACAACTGACCCAATCCTGCAGTTAAAAAGAGCAGCATAGCACAGTATCTAGGGAGAATACCACAATATATTAGAAAAGCTTATATAAAGAAATTTTTCTGCAAAGAACCTACATTTGTGAGTTAGGAACAAAGAGGGTTTTTCACTTTTTTAAAAAACACTCAGAATGTACTCTCCCCATCTAAGTAGGAGCACTTAATTAATTGCATTCATAAGCATGAAAAAAAGAGAGGAATTAGATAAAAAGCATCACTGTATTCTACATTGGCTGCTGTTGCTTCTCCTTCTACCCCATTACTCTGTTCCAAGTTACTCCTCACTGCCCTGGCTTAAAAAAAAGTTGAACTTTCTTGTTTTCCCTAACAGTACAAAACCCACTGGACCTAGTACTGGCCATCTTTGTGATGGCTGAAGTATTCTATGGGAATCCATTTCCAAAAGAAGCAGAAGCTGCAAGGGAAATTTATTTTCTTTCCCATAAGAGAAGTAGGGGGTTACTAACCCCTTTCCAAGAACTCACAAGTCTGACTGGTAAGAAAAGGAGAGTTCTTTTCCTGGTAACTTACTTGGCAGGAATTTCTTGTGGAGATGCAAATCCATGCCACAAAACATTACGAAGGTTCAGACCATGTGGAGATCCAATGAATACCCTCAGTACATTCATCTAATCAATAAAGAAAGCAATGACTGCATGAAGAAATACATTATTTTTTGCCTTTCTTACCCTTCTTACTTTTATTACCTTTCACTGGCAGTAAAGTTCAGAAGTTATTAAGAAACTACAATGTCTACTGTCAAGATGACTGGCCATCACTTGTCACAGTAATAGAAACTCTTTACTTGCAATTCCCAGTATTCTCTGAAGGAGAATCTCTCAGCTTATTTGTACAGGATATAGAATATAATATGGGAAGAATCAAACTAGCTATTAGACATCCCAGTTATGACAGGCAAACAAATGAGATCAAGTTTAGCTCTTACTTCTTGTACTATAAATCCAATGTAATTTAATGCAAATCAACACAAGGTACATTTGGTAGGAAGAAAACCAGCTCAGTAGTTATTCCTTATTTCAAAACTATGTACTTACTACAGCTTGTCCAAAGACATCTGCAAGCTGCTCAGATGCAAGCAAGTCTCTTAGAAGGAAAGGACAATCATTACCCTTAAGTAAATACACCTATTAAAAAAAAGAGCAGAACAGATAATAAATAATTTATTATACTTCTTTGTATTTCAAACATACACCCTGACTATTTTACCCAATAACCATTTTCATTATTGTAAAAACACTAACCAAACAAAACCCACCAAATCCTTAAAAAGGCCTTAAATTCTGTAATTTCATGACAAATTAAAATTTAGACAACATATGAGGAAAGAGTGGGTATTTTATTTAATGTGACCATAGTTAGGCTTTTCACAAGGTCTGTACATATACTGCTTTTCTCTTCCAAAAAATCCCACAAAAACCAGTAAGGCACAACAAGAACACCTAATTAAGGGAATAAGCTCTACCAAGGACAGTGTAATTTTACAATAGAAATTTACAGGGTCTGTCAATGTGAAACGGAGGAGACTTGTGGTTCATTTTCTGATTCCGACTGTTCTTTAAACTAGATTTTATCCTTGTTGGACAATAATAGCATCTCAATTTTCAACTGCTATCACAATTTCCATTCCTTGTACTCTCCCCGACATTTTTTCCCGATCTTTGGTGATTTGTTTTACTGAAAAATTTACCACGACCCACAATTGGGCAAATTGGTTTATAAGTTAGCCCACAGCTCTTTCTCTGTCATTTCCTTCTCCAGAGCTCCTCATAGATATTGAACACTAGCCATTTTAACTTACCTGGCTGTAAAACAGCCCAGAAGTAAAAACTGTTTAAGTAGCTGTTTCTCCCTTCTCCCTAGGAAAGAAGTTACCCAGTAGCCTGTTTTTCCAACTGTATGCCATCCCTCCCAGAAGTTAATACACCATCAGATCTTCTGTGGAAGCTATGCTACCCTACTTCAGTTAAATAAATCAAACTAATAAATACCTACTGTGTACAGTGATCAATCAAACACTTCTCTTTCCTAATTAAATTGGTTAGTAACAGCACTCACACAAGCAACTCTACAAGCCCTGGTGAAGAAGCCCCACATAAGTTTCCATCAGCACAACTGGATCCAGGAAAGAACCTCTGTCTAACTCAAAATGCACGTGGGCTATTAGTGTACTACTACAGAACAGGGTAATGTCAGGGTTAATCAATGTACAGGGTAATTGTACATTGATTTTTTTCAATGTACAATTAAATCCAAGAGCTCATTCCTGTCTTATAAAGCCAAGAAAGACTCCTCATGCTGGCACTTACGTCACCCAAGGCTCGCTCCAAGCATGATGTTAGTTTCATTAAGCCTAGAGCAACTTCTGTAGCTTGTGTAGATTGCAAAACACCAAACACTTCCAGAAATACCTGCATGATGGGGGAGAGGAAGAATGTTGTGCTCAATATTTAAAAGGAAAGATGACATAGCCAATAGCACAGAGAAATGTAAATATTCCTCTGTGATAGTTGCTGTGCAAATGTAGAAAGAAAACCATGCCAAAGAAACAGAAGTGTAGATACCTGGAGAGAAATTTCCCTAGAGTACCTCTTGATATCTATTGACTTACATATTTATAAATATCCGTAATTACTTTACAAGGTAAAACTTGGCATTAGGCACATACTATTAAAAAACAAAATCCTACAAACTAATGTAAGAACAGGCCCAAAGCTCCCATGTTGTCTAACACAAAATCTAATTACAAAGTCAGAAAAATTATAAGCAAACATCTATCAGAGAAGGACAATTAGTCACAAATTCTAAGCATTTTGGTTCATGGATGCCTCTTCTGTGTTCTCACATTAAACTTCCACAAAGAGTTCAGGTGCCAAAATACAAATTTAAGAGAAATTTCCATACCTCTGTGCAGTTTGTCCAGTGGAACCACGATGCATACTGAATTATAAACTGCTCCTTGGTCAGAGATTTGAAGTACGAATTAACAGATTCACAGACAGGTCCTAACGATCGTATGCTTTTGATATAATCCACACTTTGATCTTAAATTGAAAAACAGAAGGTGATTAGGGTACCAACCTTCCTGAAGGCCTAATATTTTAAAACTCACCAGGGATAAAATCTGCTACAGTTTGTGTACATATTTAGCACAGACAACTTTATCCCGACTATTTTAGTACAACCAATAGAATACAATTTACTGTCCAAAACACCACACAGAAAAGGTATTAAAAAGTAAAACTGCAATGCAAATCCAGGTAATACCAAGCACCCTCTCTGAATAGAACAAAAAAACAACCCAAAAATTCTACCCCAACAAAAACTTAACACAAGAAAATATGAAAGTAAATAGGATCATTGTGTTCTGCTTTTGTTGAAATGTAAAAAAACTACTAGAATTTCTGTAGAAATTCCATACATCAAGCTGGAAGCTAGTGCAGGCTCAGTGAGAGTCAAACTGCACCACTTATGGCCTTTAAAGAAGGCAGATGGATGTGGTAACTTACGGAGTGGTATTACTGCCTCTTTTTGATGGGACACTTTTTGTAGGAAAACAAATTCTTATGGTTGAAGATATTTCTACCACTTCTGGAAATTAATAACAGAGCTTACATGATGCAATTTGGCAAATTAAAATTCAATTAATTCATCAGGACATAAATACTTTGTTTTGGTTAAAAACCAACTACAATCTATTCCACGTAGAACTGAAACAGGACTGTACTTCTGCACAACCGAAAGCTGGGAAACACAAACAGAAGCAACAGTAGCAATATTGATGGCCCCAGGCTTTTAAATTTAGCACAAAAGGAATATAAAGAACAAAACAATTATGGGGTTGGAGAGAAGAAGAACTGAACCCCTTATGTTACAGGCACATAAAGTTGGGAACCAAGATGAAGGCAAAGTAGGAGCTACTTAGGTAGCACAGATTACACGAACCTTAGGAGCCAGCAAAAGCCAAATACCAAATGCAGATGAAAAATTTAAAGCTCTTTGTAGATAAGAACTCTACATAGTCTAATCTGCAGCAGAGCTAATGCTGTACTGTAACAAACTGTCACAACTCAGCTAGAATTGCTGAGCTGTACTGAAATTCTGCATCAGTCTCACATGCATCACTACTACAGCAGGTAAACACCAACCTGATTCAAGGTAACACACATGCTCTGTAACAGCTGGCCAACAAACTTCCCCACTTCCAGATAAAATATTATCAATATTATAGGTGTCTTTCTTCTCAAATCCAAGTTTGCAAATCGCATAGTGCACAGGTTGAGAAAGGCAAGTAGTGACTGAGTCTGGCAATGCCATCTAGAAAAAACACACACACACAAAAAGAATCCTTGTAACAAGAAAGCCAGAAAGCACAAGAGAACAAAAGAATTACAAGAACATACCCATCAGCATAGCTACACAGACAGTAATACGCTGTCTGTAAACAAGTTTGGGTTTGCAATGCAAGTTTCATTCACATATGTGATGAAAGGAACTCTCAACCAGAACTACCTTCATAAAACTGGGGGAAAGCATCGCTCTGTTTTCACAAGGCCAGGCGGGTGAATTTCAGAACGGTTATATCTACTGAAACCATGACAAGATAGACTGAAGCAAAATATCCTGGTTTATACACAAACGTTCTGCCTAATCTGAGCTTGCAGAGAAACTGATGCTACTTCAAGTAAACCAAGAGCATCAGTCCTTAAAACCAGCAAGATCCTTAGAGGGAGGCAGGGGAAGAACACGTGAATTCTGTAGCAATGTTAGTGCAATTTAGGCATTCATGCTATTTTCACATTAGTCTAAACAGAAAAATGGACTGATTCAGAAGCACACATTTAAATTTTAAAAATTGCACAGATAAAACTGTGCCATGTTAACAAGGATGAAAATGCTTCTGATTTAGTTAAAAGAGTCACACTTCTTCGTTCATTAGATAGACAAGAAATTGTTTGATAATGAAGTACCACAACTAATAATAATGAAAAATATGCTATTAAAGTTAAATTTAAAACATTTTTTCCTCTCTAATTAGGTGGCAGAATTTACCCTCACATATGTAATTTCTGAATCCATGGCTTCAAGGAGAAAAGAAATATTTACATAGCTGTCAGCACTAAGCAAGGGTAACAGTTCCCATTGGAAATCGGTATTAGCTGCCATCTGGAGTACCTACCTGCTATTTAAAAAAAAAAGAAATATAAAAATCTACAATGTTCCGAAGACATATCATTCAGTCCATCTTAATTTGTGTTTCTTCCCGTTCGTCGTTTCTCTGTCAAAGACAGAAGGCCAGAGCAAAACCTGCACGACCGCTGCTACCCTTTACTGCCAGCACTTCTGCAAAACGGGCCAGGCACGGGGCGAGGCGGTGACCCTTGCAGGAAGCGCGGGCTGGCGCTGGCAGAAGCGGGGCAGGGCAGGGCAGGGCAGGGCTGTCCCCTCCCCTCCCCGCCCTTGCCCGCGGCCTGGCCCGGGGCCCCGCTCCGCCATGGCCGCCGCCGGCTCCGTTACCGCTGCCCGCGCGCGCCGCGTCACGGCCGGCTCGCGGGCAGGGCCCGGGCCGCCGCACGCCGCCCAGCGGGACCGCCGCCGCCGCAGCCGAGGACGCAGGGAAAAAGCGCCAGGATAAAGACATGGTGAGCGGCCGCCAGGGCCAGGGGCGGCTCCGAGGGCTGAGCTGGCCGGGCTGGGGCCCCGCCGGGAGCGGGGACAGCGGCCCCGGCGCGGGGGGGTGTGGTGCCCGACTGAGGCGGGGGTGCCGGTCCGGGCCTGCGGCGCTTCACTCGGGAGGGAAGGATGGGGCGGAGAGAAGGTGGGATGAAAGGCGCGTGTGATCTTGTGAACATTGGTGTGAGGAACGGTGTTCCCTCTCGGTTCGTGCCCGGTTTGGGATAGCTCCGCTCTTTCTGCTCGGTCAGGTGTGATGTTGGCTCATGCCCTGCGGCTGGCGTGCTGCCTCAGGCGCTGCGAGCCCGAGCTGCTGTGCTGGTAACGAGAAGGGGCGTCCTGCCTTTGGTGGGGCACTCTGTCCAACTCGGGGTGCTGCTCTGACCTAGAACCCATACCTTCTTCTGAAGGAATAAACAAGAACTCTTTCCTGTTTGTTTTAACAACTAAAACCTATTGATTGTTAAAATGGACTTACTAACAAACAGAATTTCATGTAAATAGCAAAAGCTTTTTTTTTTTCCTATTAGCAATCTTCCTTCTGTATGTCCAAAGTTAAGCCAATGTACTCAAGTTGAGTAGCCTAAGAACAGGCTTTTTTTGGTCAAGTGTTCAAATGCAGTCAGTTCTTGAACTTCTGAGCGTTTTATTCAGAGGGTGCAAATATTTTACAGAAACATAATTACCCCATTGTACTAAAACTTCGGGGTTTATTGTGTATTTTATACAGTGATATACAGAAGAAGGTTTATTTACTAGCCATGTCTGTAGAGAAATCAAGGTTTTTGGTTGCCTCACTAGTAAATGCAATGACTTTTTGCAAGTGATTATGAAAGCTTCTGTCACTAATAATAGCAGGTAAACTTTTAAATATCACCATTGTTAGAAGTTGTGTGCTATAGACATGAATTTTCTTCCAGCATTGGTGATAGAGGTTGAAAGTAATATGCCTCAAGCTGAACCATGTCAGCAAAGAATCACTGTTTGGACTGCACCCTTTTTCACAAGTTCATTGTTGCTCACATGGATGGGGATGCCCATTTGAAGACCTCAGCTGCAAGACTTGAGGTGGTTTTTCTTCTGTTAGGTGATGTGTGATGAGCATGTCAGGGCTTTAGTCATTTGTTTTTTAGTCTTTTGAGATCTGAGATTGCAGTTAGTAGATAATGAGTTTCCACAGGCTAAGTGCAAGTGTGTTTGGTCCTTGTGTTTTTAGAGTAAATGCTATTCAGAGTTCAACAAACACCAGCGGGCAATTTGCACTAAGGCTGCCAACATCACTGCTTTTAAGGAACTAGAGGATACTTTTAGGTAATGTCCACAGTTGTTGACAGAATGCATGTGCAAGCAATTTCACAGAGAAGAAACTGCATTTCTTCCCTGATTCTTAAAACTCCTCAGATGGAAAGAGTTCTGAGCCCTTGAGTAGTGCATCTTCTAAAATAATTCTCATTACACTTTTATATTATCCATAAGTGACTTTTTTTCAGTACTTCTTAGCATAAGCCTTGCATTGTGATGTTATTTCACCTTTGAGTTCTTTTCTGCTCTCCTGGTAAGGAACTGATGATTTTCTCTCCATGTTGGGTTCTAGCAGTAGTCAGGAAGTAGAGCTGAGACTGAAAAGTCAGTGAAACTTGGAAGTTGTTTGTTAGGAAGTAGCTGGTATGGAAGACCATTGCCTGTGGCATTTGTTACGATCTCATTGTTCCTTGTGCTTTTCTGTCTCTGTTACTATTTTACTGTTCTGTTTTAAGCCACCGTGGTGGACAGCAGGTGACATTTTTTTGCAACATCAGACTTACTTCTTGCATTCATAGAGGGACAGGTTTTGTTATGTGTCTTGAAGATATAGAGTACATAGCTGGATGAGGAGAAAACGTGATCTTCAGAGATCTTGTTTTCAGTTCCAAGCAAAATTACAAAGCTTTGCACACTGGAGCTTACTTTTTCCTTCTTTTTTTTTTTTAATGAGCAAGTTAAATCATCATTACATAAGCTACTATTTTAGTAACAAGGAATAAGGACAAGCAAAATGAAGTAGTAAATGAACCAAGTCTGTATTTTGGGTATTGTGTAGGCTATTCGAATGAGAAACTTGAACTTGTGGCTAACAGTCTTGGATGGGTACATTTATATCTGTGTATTTCTCCTAGGAAAAGGGAGCGGATTCAGGGTGGTAATATGCTGTATCTGATGGATGAGTTTAAATGCAAAGTTCAGTTGGGTTTTGCTGGAAAAGAATTTAAAATTGAGTCAAAGTCAACCACTTCTCCTGTTTCAGGCAAAGCAGTAGTTAAAACAGCCAGAAGATGATAACCAGCTTCTAGCTTTCTGTAGTTTTTAACATATTCCTAGACTAATTGTTGGGGATTTTTTTTCTCTTATCTGTACACCATTAAGTATTATTTAGAATCTTTAAAATATTGACATGTGATGCGGCTTTTTTCTTATTATTTTGTACAGTCAAAAGTTAAAAAACCACAGGATGCTTCAGGCTCGGCTCCAACAGAAGGAAAGGCAAAGTCAAAAAGCCGTAACACGTACAGACTGGAGCCACGCACTAAGGTTCAGGATGACTTATTACAAGACAAAGCTCAAGCGATACTGACGGTAGAGTATTATTTAAATTACTTGTCTCATTGCAAGAGCAGCTTGTCTTGCAGAAGTATTTACAGAACAGTGAATATTGCATAAACTTAAACACACATAAATTTCTGCCCTCTTTTGAGTTTTGGCACATGGATGTAATGTGAATGTATTCTGTTTTGCGAAGTGCAGAAGGGCCTCTGTGAGGTCACTGCTGAGTGTGTGCTGTTTAGGTGGAGCTGAAGCTTCATAAACTTTTGCATTTTTTAAAATCAAATTGAGCTACAGCACAGTTCAAAGTACCATAATCTACAAAATGTCCAGTTAGCAAAGGATCATGACATCAAATTTGTGGATTTCTGTTAATTCTGCTAATATCACAGGACCTGCATAAAATTACTTGGTATCCTTGATAGTCAGATTGGTACATACACAAATTGAGCAAATATAAAAGAAAACAATTTGTTGAGATAATCCACAGGTATTAGTGGTATTTTGAACAGTTATATCTGGATCTTTTTAATTCTGCTGTCTGGAGGACATATCTTGGGTATTTGGAACAGATATTTGTAGCACTGTTTTCCAGTGAACTGAGCCCAAATAATGAAGAGTACTCTCCTGACTGTTAAATGGAGATTGGTTGGGCATGTGTGTCACCTTTAAAAAAACAGATAAAACATTTCAGAGTAAAAGTAGTGCATCCTTTGCTGTTTGAGACCATCATCTGTACTGACTATTCAACTCACTAGTTCTTCTCATGTTCTTGTAATGATAATGACTGTAAAGGGTGTTTTTTGCAAAAGACTACTAGGATGAAAACTAAGATCTTTCAAAATTGTTTTTGATAGAATAAACTACGATATGCCACATACGATGGAGCTTCTAGTGCCTTCTTGTGTGCCTCAATCTCAGAAGAAATATTAAATGCTGTGAAGGAATTGAACTATGACCGTTATAAGTATGTGGTATCAGTGCTAATTGTGGAAAAGGCAAATCAGGCAATGATTGTAAGCAAACATATTATTTCTTACACCTTTTGAAAATTAAAAACAACTTTTAAAACTGTGTGTTATCTCCTAGATGTTCTTTCAATTTCAGCAGCTTAACTTGTTTCAGGTGGTCCTGAAGCTTTTACATTCTTTATGGTTAGTAGTATCCCAGGTGACAATTCAAGGTGCTGCTGTGATTCTGCCTAATTCTCTGAGGGTTGCTGTCTTCATGTGTTCAGTAAGTGGTAAACAGCCCCAGCTGCACATACCTGTCACCCACTTGTTTCTGCTGCCTGCTGTGCCAGTACAATTCCATGAGTTCAGCGAATTTTGTTTTTCTTTGTCCGGTGTACTTGGATCTCCATTTGGATTCTTGCATTCCACGCGAGATGCTATGCAGTTGTAGTGTGAGGTGTCATGGAACAGAAGGGTGGCAGGGAACTGCAGGGTGGATGGTAACTCCAGGTGCCACCAGACATGCTCCTGGGACTTCAAATTAACATCAGTCATCTGAACTTGGAACACCTAAAATAAAAGGATTCTAGATTGTGCTGTGTTGGTATATAAATTTAGTATTCCAACTACCTTGGAGCTCCCATTGGCATTCAGAATGCTTTTATCTGTCTAGTAGAGTGCCAAAGAACACTTCTGCTTTGCAGTGTTCATCATCAGTTCTTAAAACCTGATTGAAACCAACCTGTGTTTAGTGAGTTACATAAAACATTTGAAGGGTTCACCTTCAGTACCAAATCCAGTTTTTGCATCTACCTGCTTTTCTGGTGCCATCCCACAGTATGCTGCCTCTTAGGAGGTGCTTTGACTGAGAAGCTGTAGATGCAAACAGATTAGTGAAGTGGCCCAAGTTAACTTCTTTCTCCCAAGGAATATGTTTATTCCAGCCATCAATTCATACAGTTTAGTTTTGAAAACAATTTTACCAAAAAGGCTGAGAGCCCAATAAATTTACAAGTAGGCTGTAGTAAGCTGGAGGTGGAAGAGTGGGGGATGTGATTTCTTGGTTGTAAATGTTCGCAAAACTGATGTCTATTCACACTGACATTCAGTTGCTTTTGAAGGGGTGCTCTTACTGTATGTTAAATTGTAACAAGTGAACACAAGAGAGAATTGGGGGTTTGGTGCTGAGCTTTTGGATCTGTCTGTGTGGGAGCTTCACTGTGAAGCAAGAACATGTATTTAACGTTGAATAGGAATTGTTAATTTTATTAAACTTTTGCATTGTTGTTAATAGTTGTAACTCTCCTAATACGATTAATTAGCATTTAGATAATGCTGGATATATAGGTTCACTTGTAACTTTTTCTCTTTTATCCCTTTAGGTTGCCAGCAGATGCCTCTGGGATGCTCAAAGAGACACTTGGGTTTCAGCTAAATGTGAAACTGATACATTTATTGCACTGGCTTTGGTAATGGCTTGTTATTATGACTAAAACTCTGAAAGTCAGCTGCATTTGTGCATCACAATACATGGTATATTTGAAAATTTTCAAAATATCATTATTTCAGTATTCATATTTGTCCTGTTGGTGTTGGCACATTGAAACTGACGTATAGTGGAGATAATTTTGCTCGTTTTTGCTCTGTTTAAAAAAAAAAACCAAACAAAACTGCTTTGGAAATGTTTATGGTTGAGTACATATGGGCTTCATCTGTTGTAATGCTCTGCTGTGGAAGTGGGAGCAGCTGGTGAGAGGCCAAACATTGCAAAATTCTGAATGTTGCTTGTCTCTTGAGTGTCTAGGACTGTTCACCAATGCTTATATGCAGTTGCAGGTATCAGTTTTCTTAAAAGCATGCTTTTTGTAAGAAAAGCAGTGTTCATTTTTTGTTTTCATAGTTGGTATCTATGGTAAAATGCTGGTGTGCCTAGAAACTTGGCTGGGAGGGAAGCTGTGTTTTGCAGTCCTAGAAACTTGTGCACGTTTCCAGCCGTTTGCCTTGAATGAAGTGTAAGTTCAGTTATTAGGTTCCCCGGGTCGTAACCTTTGGTTAAGTATTGCCTCGGGTCTGGTTGGTGGACAAATACTGAACTGAGCGAGTTAGGTCACTTTGGTCTGGGGGCTTCTGGTGGCAGTGGCAGGAGGATGATGGGATCAATCTCAAGGCTATTGAGAATTGGTGGATAACTGGCAAGGGCAGCACCGATTGTATTTTTTTAAATGAGACTCGCAGATCTGTGAGGTGTGTAGACATCAGCTTTTGGATCGGCCGTGCGTGGAAATTTAGCGCTGGTGCCTTTGCCACGTCCGTTCTATTGTTGGAGTTGAAAACAAACGAGGACGGGGCAGGGGTGCTTCCCAACGCCTCGTGGCCGGCTTGGGTCTGAGCGCCTTTGCAGCCGCGGCCGGGCAAACCTCGAGGGTCGGTGAGCAGCCCGGGCCGCGGGTGGGCGCACACGCGAGGCCGGCGGAGCCCCCGGCCGGGGGCGGCGCCGTGGCTGGGGCGCGGCCGTGCGCTTTGTTCGCCGGCGCGGGGCCGTGCGCGCCCACGGAGCCCGCCTGCGTGCGGGCGGGCGCGCGCGCCGCCCCGGTCCCCGGGACGAGGGTCGTTCCCGCGGCGGGCAGGGAGGGCTGCGCCTCAGCTCCGCCCGCCCGTACCGGCGGGACCGGTACCGGCACCGGGAGGCGGCGCGACCGCGGCGCGCAGCGGGCTCGGCGCGACCGCGCAGCGGCGGGGAGCGGCCGCACGCGCCCTCCCTCCGTCGCAGGGGCGAGCGCGCTCGTAGCGGCTCCTCCGAGTGCGCCCCCCGCCCCCCGAACCCCCCTCCTGCGGGGGCTGATGGTTCACAAACGTAGCTCGTCCCCGGCTGACGTTCCCGGAGACGGGAGCCTGCCGGCGGAGCGGAGCAGCCCGGCCCTGCTGGGTGCCGGCTCCCGCGCTCGGCGCTGACCACCCCGCCGGGGAGATGCTGCCCCTCCGTCCCGCGCTGCTGCCCAAGCGCTACCGCGGCGGCTCGGCTCCGCGCTCGCGGCCGGGCCGCGCGGCCGCCCGAGCGATGGCGGCAGGAGGAGGAGAAGGGCGCGGCGGCGGCGGCAGCACCGGCGGCGACGGATCCCCCGCGCCGGTCCCGCGGGGCGGCGCCGGGTCGGTGCGGGTGCCGGTCCGGCGGCGCGGGCCGGGGTCGCCGCGGGCTGCCCGGAGGGGGGCGGAGCAGGAGCCGCCGCGCCCGTGCGCGCGCTGGCCGGTAGGGGCCGCTGCCGCTCCCCGCAGGGCGCGGGGGGGCGGGGCCGGCGGGCGCGGCGCGAGGCCCGGTCGCGCGGCGGCGGCGGCGTCGCTCCTGTTGGCCCAGCCGGCGGCGGCCATGGCGGCCGTGCTGTCCCCGCGCCTCTGCGACAGCGACCCGGCCACGCCCGGCGCGCAGTCCCTCAAGGTGAGAGCGGGTGGCGGCGGCCGCGGAGCTGCGGCGCAACAGCCGCCTCGGCGGGAGGCCTCGCGCGGCCCCCGCGCTGGGCGCCTCGACCCGCGCCTCTCACCCGACCCGCCCGCCCCGGGCTCACCTCACGCCCGCTGGGGGAGCCGGGCGGCGGCGGGCGGCCTCCCGCGCCCCGGGCCGAACTTTGAGCGCGGGTCTGGGGCCGGGTGCCCGGGGCCGTCCTCCTTCCCGAAAGTCCCTCGGCGTGTTGCCGGTGGCGGCGCGGCAGCTGAGTGCTCGCCGCGGCAGCGCCGCAGCCGGGAAAGTTTGGGTCTGGCCGCGGCAGTTCCGCCTTGGCCCTGCCGGCCGCTCCCGCGCATCCCGGGCACCGCGGGCACTTGTGGCGCCAAAGACTCCCGACGCGGATCGGTAGTCGCCCTTTTAAACACATCTCGAGCTGTTTAAGCTTCTCTATCGCTTATTAAAGCAGCGTTATATCGATCTTGCAGTGACAGACGTACCAGAAGTTTGTAACGTCACCATGCTTCGTAAGGACTAACAAGCTTTTTACAGAAACATGCGTTTTCAGGGATAAAGGGGCTTTTTTGGACAGTGCTTGATTTTTCATGTAAAGAGAGCCACGGAGCTATCTGGTTTTTTCTGTTTTTCAACAGTGAAGGTGGTTGAGCTGCATTGTGCCTTTAGATTGCAGATGTTTTCACTTCATGTACTAAGTCGTCTGCAACAAACTCAACTTGTCTTATTGAATTTCGTGAAATTTTAAGCAAATAAGGAAGCAAGTATGGAAATGGAGAGAACTGATGTCTCTATGTTATGGACACTCTTACTTTGTAACAGTACCGGGTATAATCAATGAAAAATTAGTGAGCGAAATGAGAAACTGATTATCAGGCACTTCCACCAAACTCTCAGGTTGAGATCTGTCTTTTAATGACGTTTTGAATTCTCTTGGAAGTTTTGGTATACAGCGGGTTGCTTTGGCCCTTTTGAGGTTTTTGTCTAGCAGTTAAAAAGATTTGGAGTGCATTAATATTCTTGTGGGAAGTAGAAGTGAACAGCTGATAAGACGGCTGTGTCACAAAATATTCTAATGCATTGTTGGTTTGATTGGGGGCTGCTGCTTCATTCGTCTGAGTTCACACAGGGTATTCTCAGCAACAGTAAGAAATGGCATTACTGCTAATGTGAGTGGAGATGCTGCATACGGCTTTTTTAATGATGGCTGCACTAAGAAAACACAGTTCCATTAAAATTTGCTTTTCAGTTTTTATAACTGTGAAAGATGGTTTTGCTCCTTAAAGAGGAAGAAGAATATTTGTAAAAAGTTGCAGAAAATAAGAAATAAGCCAAAAATCCAGGAGACTAATGCTTTTTGTCTATGGCCTGTCTTGATTGTAGCATTGTGAAATGTTACTTAGTAAAAGTAATGTATTCTTTTTTTTGCTGGAATATTTATAAATTGATATTCCAAGTCATATGTTAAGTAAAACATACTAGAGTGAAAGACATTAGCAAAGGCAGACCTAATTATCAGTGTTATCATTTCTAAATAAATAAGTATAGTTGGGCTTGATCCATTTATTTCTGACAGGTTAATTCCTCTTGCTTAAACTTTTCACAGAAGTTAGGAAATTGATTCTGTCACTCTGCTCCATTTTAGAAATTCAATTACTTAAGTAACTGTTTTATTCTTGACTCAACTCCTGGTCACAGTAGGCAATTCACCTGAAGATTTCAGCTGTCTTTATCTCAGTTATGATCAGACAGGGTTGGTCACTAAATGCTTTGAGATTGCTGATGATGCAGGTGGGAGTTGCACAGCATTATGGGACAACAGAGCAGTGAAAAACACAACATGAACTGAGTCACTGTCTTCTAGATTGCACAGAACTCTTTGTCTTGCTTGGGTCTTTTTTTCCTCCTCTTCATTCTTATTCATTCCCTTTTGTTATATCGATCACATGAGATCTGAATTGTGACACCTGTCTGAATGTTCCCCTGTAAGAGCCTTGTTCTCTTCTGTGTCTGTTGTAATACCAAGTTGGGTTTTTTCTTCTGTACATTTTTTCATCTCAAGTCTTTGCTACTTGCTTGCAATGATATTTTTTGTAAACTGTATACCGTTCCTTTTATTTTAACTGTATACCTGTAAAGTCCTGTGTTGCTTTCACTAACATTTTCCCTGATTTTGTAAGCATCAGCTCTCAGCATGGAGTTGGGGTTTTTGTTTTGCACTTGCTTTTGGTGTGGAGTGCTAGTCTGGTCAAGTGCCAGAGGTAGTTTACATCAGGAAATATGAACTTGGTGGTCAGAGCTACAGCTCTGTCTATTCAGAACTCTACCTATGCCACAGGTGAGAAGCCACCCAGTTCTCCTATCGGGCTACCTCGTGTCATGCAGATAGTTTATAACAAAGAATAATTTGTTATGTAGAGTCTTGTTTGTCCTGTGAGTTGTTTAAGACTGTCATAGAATGGCTTACCAGTTCAAGTATATTTAAATTGTGGATTGCCTTGCAATGTTTTTGGTGTTTTACATTATCTTTGGAGTAGTCTTAATTTTTTTAATATTTATTTTCATCTCAGGATGACACAGAAGAAAATTCCAATGATGGCAGCCAGCCATCCAAAAGGCGGCGTATGGGCTCAGGGGACAGTTCACGAAGCTGTGAAACTTCCAGTCAAGACCTTGGGTAATACTGCTTTTTACAATTCCCACTTTTTATTGTAGGTCTGACTTTATTGTTCAGCATGCTTGAGTATTAGCTCTTTAGTCATTACTTGTGTATTCTTCATACATCTTTACAAATTGAGGTGATGTCCTATAAATAGCTAGATATCTGTTCCTCCCAGCATATTTTGAGGCATTTTGTTTTAGAGTGCCACAAAAAGTGTTGCATCTGATTTACAATCAGAAGCACAGTTTACATGTTTTTAAGACATTGCATACTTGAATGAATTTTGATTCTGTAGTAGTTGCTTTTCCTGGTATCCTCTCCATTATAATGGATATCAGTTTCTTCAGATTCTGTCCCTTAGCATGCTGATAAATGGAGATTTAGAGAAATATATGTGAAGTTGGGTACAACAAAGTGACTTTCGAAATGGGTTAACAGGATGCAGTGTTTTAAAGTGCTTGTCCAACTTTGTAGTTACTGTTCATTGGCATATAAATGGGAATTACGGAATTTCTAGAGAGGTAAGTAGTATTGTTAAGGATTGTTGTGATTTGTTGTAACATTGTTCTTATGTTTAGGTACAGTTATTTTCCTGCTGAAAATTTGATAGAATACAAATGGCCACCTGATGAAACAGGAGAATACTATATGCTTCAGGAACAAGTCAGTGAATATTTGGGTGTGACTTCCTTTAAAAGAAAATATCCAGGTATTTATTTTTAAAGTCGTTCTTATAAAAATTTGAATTCTTAAACAGTTTGGATGTAGTCTCTGCTTCTTTGGTTATGGGATGAGCTAATGGTTAAAAAAAGACCCAGGAAAAGTAGACCTGGATTAATTATACTTGTACTTCATATTTTCATTACTGGAAATGTAATGTATCCACTGGTTTTCAAAGTAATATAAAATTTTGTGGTATTGACACTGAAAATTTGCAAACGAGTCTGATTTGAGGCTTAGATCAACAAGTACTGTTTGAAAACTAGTGTCAATTTCATTTTTAATGATTTGTTGATGATTTCTTACTATAACTGGATCTCTGCATTCTGTTTCCTGAATTGTGGCAACATTCCTACACTATGGAAAAATATTTAAAAATATGTTTGTGGAGGTTCTAGTATTTGAGCCTCCGTTATCTAGAATTGTCAAATCTGGCTCTTTGTTGGGGAATTTAGTTTTAAAAGTTATGGTAGAAGAAAAAATACTGCACTTTCAGTGCTTGGTAAAATTTTCTGTATCTGAACTTATACATCAGGTTTCTTTAGTTTTTATGTAAGTCATAACTGTAGAGAGGGTCTTGACCTACTATAAGTCAAGAAAATTTATCATGTCCCTACATTGTGTGTTAAATTTAAAATGAATTTATGAAGTTGTCATGTTTCTTGAAATAGCAGTGTAATACAGGCTCTAGCTGCCTGGAAGCAAAATTGTTGAAGTACTTTGACAGTGTTTATGGGGGAGTTTCAGTTACTGCACCCATTTTTATTTCTTTTTTTTTGTTTTTTTTTTTGAGATTTAGAAAGGCGAGATTTATCTCACAAGGAGAAACTCTACCTCAGAGAACTAAATGTTATCACAGAGACTCAATGCACACTAGGTAAGAAAACAAATTGTTAGACTTCTTATTACAGTATAAAAAGTATGGCACTCTGAAAAAGGGGTTCAGTTTGGTAGAGAAGAATGCATCCCTCTCAACTGGAAACATAAATTTTGAAATTAAAACTGGTTTATTTTTGGCTTAGTAAATTGACCATGTTGTATCAGAATTCCAGATTCATTATTAGCAAATATATTTTGGAACTATTCTAATTACTTAGAGGGGATTTTTCTATATTCTAACTTAACTTTTAGAGTCTTTTTCTCTTAGAAAAGAGACCACCATAGTAGTGTGGTCTCATACATATACTTTGTATATACATACATGCATGGTGGTATACATTGCATATATAGGTACAGAGTGTCTTCATATATACGTTAGTCTTATTTTGCTGCATTGCATTGGAGGCTTACGGGCATCAGTGTATCTTAAATGGTTCAGCTTCTATGTTAGAAATTAGAAGAGTGTATTTTAAGGCAATTGAATATACTTGAAATGGATTGATCTAATTTCTGAGGCTTTTATTGAAAGGGCTTTTTTCTTACTCTTCTGATATATGTCATTTGGACATGTAGAGTTTAAATTATGGTGCCATGGGGTTTTTTTCTGTGTATCAAAGGTCTGTGAAAATGTAATGTCATTTTATATGCTAACAATCTTTAGTATACCACCTTTATTTCTCACCTCTGAGCTATTTTTTAACTTAGCTATGCATAAGAGAACTGTGTCTAATTTTTATATATAGAGGTAAAATGTTATGTTCTGCCTCACCTATCTAATAGAAATGTGTGCTAACTACCCCTGTTTTTAAAATTATAGTTATAATTAGTGGTAATGACATAAATCATTCCATGTTATTTTCCATGTCTGGAGATTAGTTGTGTTGGAACCTTCAGGGGAGGAGATCTGCATTGTAGCTGCAAACTGAGGCATTCTGACTTCTGAGCGTGAAATGCTTTAATTGGGAGTCAGGAGTCTATGTGCAGTTTGCTGCTCTGAATTGCTCTCCTAGCAATTCTTCCCTGATTTGTATAGAGACTTTATGTAAACCTCTTAATTTCAGTAAAGGTTCTGCAGGGTAATGAAACTTCAGCAGCACTGGGAACTGAAACTAACAGTACATGAGATCCCATCTAGAACAAAGGTTCTGCCTCACCAGTGAGTTTAAGTAGGTGATTGAGTCAGTGAGAGGGGTCTGTAGCTGTAAGTAATGACACGAGCCTCCGGTACAAGCAAACTCCCAGTCAGCCTTGAAAGCTAAGTGGCACAAGTTTGCTGCTGCTTGAGAAGGAAAAGCATTGTGCACAGCAGGTTATTGTCTTCAGCTGCTCAAAACCTTTGAGTTGGTCATTGTGAGATATAAATAACCTACAGTTACTTTTGCCAGATAGCAACATCATTACTTTATTTATTTTAGGTCTAACAGCTTTGCGTAGCGATGAAGTAATTGATCTCATGATTAAAGAATACCCTGCCAAACATGCTGAGTATTCTGTTATACTGCAAGAGAAGGAACGGCAGCGAATAACAGATCATTACAAAGAGTATTCTGTGAGTAATTACCACTTAAGTGAACCAAATCTGCAATGGAAATGTGAGAAAAGGTTCTTCTCCAACTGATAGTGAAATGTATGTGAATTAATATAATTGTTTTTATTCCAGCAAATGCAGCAGCAGAACACACAGAAAGTAGAAGCCAGTAAAGTTCCAGAATATATTAAAAAAGCTGCCAAGAAAGCTGCAGAATTCAACAGCAATTTAAACCGAGAGCGGATGGAGGAAAGAAGAGCCTATTTTGATTTACAGACACATGTAGGTAGATGTAAATTTCTTACCAATTGGGAGGAAGCAGCTCCTTGCTTGTTTTAATGAAGAGAATGAAGAGAAAATAGTTGGTTTTGTTACCATTGTAGCTATTTTTGGGGGGGTGATTAATGGGTAATACTGCTAAAAGTAATAATCTAAATATATTTAACCTGCAGACTTTTTAAACTTGAAAATACTTGTCTCAGAAAGCTCTAAAAATCTCAGTGTTACTTTGTTATCATGTCTTTATTCTGATAATCTTAGCATAAAA